AAGTAAATAGTATTTTATATATTAAGCTTAAGGTTTAAATTTTAAAATTAACATTTTAAAAGAGAGTGTATCCTTAAGATGTATCATAGAAATACAAAAGATAACTCAAGAATATCCTGTTTGTAAATACAAAAAAAAAAAAAAAAAAACTAAATAAAGTTGAAATATAAGGTGCGCATATTACAAATAATATCAACAATCACAATATATAATTCATAAAAAGTTTGAAACTAACCCACCTGAAATTAACTAATTAAACTGCCTCATTGAAAAAGAGGAAGAGGAAGAAGAAGAAGAGGAGAAAGAACGAAAGAAAAAAGAAAATACTACTACAGCAAAACCGCGGCCGCTGCCTGTATCTCTTCGCATTAATTAAACTGCTTCGTCGACAGACATAATAAACATGAATGATCTCAAAGTTCTCATATATCTCTAATTAATTCTCTATGACTTTAGACGACTCCAGTCCACACATAATTTATGATTTCATATATATATATATATATATATATATTTCAATAGAGTTGTATATGAGGAGAAAAAAAAAATTAACGTAGAATCTTTTATGAGATTTTAACAAGATATTAATACATGTATAGTAGCAGCCTTCGAGAAGGAGAAATTAAGAAAAATGGTTCTATCAGAAAGATTGGAAAATCCACCACATGCAAAGCACAAGTGGTTGAGTCAATTGAAGATGCTTTTGTTTCTTAAAAAATAAATCAAATATTTCAGCTCTTAGTAAAGCGACCCTTTTTTGTGTTTCTTGTTATATCAGTCCACGCTCCCCATGTGCAAGGATGCCCCATCCCTCCTATTCTTTAAATTTCCCAAACACCTATTTTCCCAAAAAAAAAAAAAAAAGAGGCCCAAATTCCTCTTATTTTCTGTCTAATTATTGGAATATACGAAGATGTGAGTAGAATTAAAAATAAAAAAATATGTATAAAAATCTCACATAGTAAAGAAATAATGTATTAGAGTATAATATATACATGAGAAAAGTTTATAAAATTAATAAACATAATTTTTAAATTTAATATAACATCTTTTCATATGTATTTGTACTCTCTCATTTATGTTCTTTCAAACTGACCCATTAAACTTTCCCAACACTAATCATCTTCCTTTTCCTAATCAAAACTCAACTTCTCTTCTAATTCCCTTCAATAAAACTCGACCTCTGGCAATTTACACACCATTAGTACATCACTCACTCTCATTAATTTATTTTATAAAAGCGTTCATATGGTCTGAACACTAAACCGTGATTCCAAAATCAAAAATCAAATTCAAAAGAGTAGTAATTTATTTTTGAAAAGTTTGTTTGGTTGGAAGGTCTAGAGGGGGCCAATATGATTCACGAGTCCGCGTGCACGTTAAGGGAGGTAGGGTGCATTCTTCAAACATCACTTTAACCAATCTAAAGTACCCCACTTGTTCCGATTTAGGGATCATACCATTTATTTCTTTTGTGGAAAAAAGTTTAATTTGAACCAATTTAATTTACCAAATACATATCCAAACAAATTGAGTAAAAAAAAAAAACATAAAAGATAAACCAAAAATTTCTTCCATTATTTGCATAGTATCCCATTAACTAATTTTGTTTTCTTTAGACAAAAATGTGGGAGGATTTGGGAGAATATATGCATAATGCATGATTTAGGGAAGGGCAATTTCGAAAATATGAAAATTTCTTAGGGTCAAGATTGGGTATGGACCCGGTTTTTATTTATTTTTATTTTCTGATACTCTGACCAATATTTTCAGTTTCTTGGACTTGGAACATGTAAAAATC